TAAACTTATTGATCAAATATTCATGTTGGAGAGTTTCATACATTAATACTAAATATTATATTATTGACGTTAAAAACAAAGACAGGTTTTAAAAATGCCGGTTCTCCTTCTCCTCCAGGAGTTGCTGCAGAGGCAGCTGCAGGAAGCGAACAGGAAGGCTCAGGAGTACCGTCAGCAGCTGATGTGTAAGGAGCAGGAGGCGGAGGAGTACCGTGTGAAGCTGGAGGCCATGTCTCAGTCTCAGGCCAACAACGCCGCCATCATCAGCGCCGCCGCCAACGCAGCCAGTCCAGAGGAGGTGGTGGGGGGGGGGGAGGACGAGGAGGAGGAGGAGGAGGAGGAGGAGGAGGCCGGCATGGTGGAGGAGGAGGGGGAGATGGTGGTGCTGCAGGAGGGAGGCATCATCATGGAGGGGGAGGAGGGTCAGGTGACTCTGGTGGAGACGGGGGGGGAGACGGCGGAGGTCAGCTCCTAACAGAGAGGGGGGGGGGGGGGCACATCGAAACGGGAGGATTTCAAGTGTACACCATTTTGAATCCCCAAAAGACAACATGGAGGAGGAACAAAATGGCTCCCCAGAACCAGATGACCATCGAAAACAAACTGAACAAACATGGCGGAGGAGTTTGGACGTGCGCCATTTTGAATCCCTGAAAGATTGGATGATAACACTTCAGAGAGAGGAAAGTAAAAGGACAAACCATTGGGAGAGACAGACTGAAACCAGACTAAGCAAACATGGCGGAGGAGGTCAGTCGTGAGTTCCCACTCCTGGATGAACGTTTTCTTAAGTGGAATGCAAAATGGCGGCTGCAGAAGTAAACGAAGCAATGAATGGATTGAAGAGATGGAGACCAACCGAGGAGAAAACCCCGACAGCTTATTAACTTCTTGTTTTAACCGCAACCGATAAAATCTAAATAACAGCATGGGGGGGTCTTAAGGCAGCCATTTTTGTTCCCGGGACATCGCTTTAACGCACCATTTTGCTTCCCCAGGCTACCTTGAGTGAGCCACTATAAAGATCACTAAACCTGATACTCATACAGCAGAAATTAAGACTTCAATTTAACATCTTCCTTCTGTGTTTTTGGGGGGGGGAGCCCAAATGGTTGAACCCTTTTACATCCACGATGTTATTCTTTCCGCGGGTTGTTCATCTGATGCCTTCATAACTCTAAAGTCTTGATAAATTGGGGCCACGTTAAGCTTGCACCATTTTGCATCCCCAGCACAGACGACGGCATCTTTTTTCCACTATTCTTTGGACACTAAAAGAACTCTGAACTGCTTTCCTACTTTTCCCGTTTAATGTTTTTGTTCATAATCGCTTTTGCTTTTCGGATCTGACGTCATCATGTTTGAGAACACGTTGCCCAAAGGGGATGCCAAATGGAGCTGTTTGTGAAGCAAAGGGAAACATTTTTGGGGGATTAATTCGCTCACAGTCTCAACGAGAAAATTAATGTTGGAACGTAGAAGAACTCGTCTTCATTCCCGGAACTGAACCAGATGTTTAAAACCATGTTCTGATGACATCATCATCAGCTGTCACCTTGTGATCGTATTTAATAGATTCTTAGTTTAGAAACATTCGCATCAAAGAACCTGCGACTGGTTGATTTTGGAGCATTTTTTGATTAAAATAAGACAAAGAAATATTGAAACGATTGTTATTATTAATCATCTATTTTGATTAATACCGTCGTGAACGTTCAGACTGTCTTTTAGCGTTTAATCACACATTTACATTCCTGCTTTTACACTTCCTTCCAGCTGCTGCCGGTTTCTGAACATCTAAATATAATTTAGTCTTTTCTTTAAAGTTATGGTTTTGAGATTTATAACTTGTTAACTGTTGAGGTGAGTTCAAGGACGCACAGAACTTCTAACTTCCTGTCTACGTTCAGTTCCCTCAGACTGAACCGGCGGGTTTAAGATGTGACGACACGCTTCAGCTTCTTTAACGAACATTCATAGAAACCGCTGTCGTGTCTGGAAGGAAGGAAGCAGCCCGTCTATTACCGGTCAGCGTGGACTTTAAAGCCGTAGTCACTTCCTGTCAGCTGATCGACTCCGCCTCCAGTTTGAGTTGAGTACGATAGTTATTTTTTATAAAGCTCAGCTAAGCCGACCCTTTTTCTATGTACATATAAAGCTGTATTTTTGTAACTGTACCTGAATGCTTCACCGTGATGATGAAGATGATGGTGATGAAGATGGCTGCCTGCATTGTTAATCTGAAATATAAACGCTTGCTTTTTTTGAACTCTTGTTGTGTTTTTGATGCTTTTAAACGGCGACACCTGAACTCAGCACGAGGCGTTCAGGTGTTCAGGCGTTCAGATCTCAACATGAGCTTAAAGTTGGAAAAAGTAACTGGTTGTGTTTTTAAGATAAAACACAATACTTGTCAGGACCAATTAATTGTTGTATTTGTGTCTAAAATAAGTAGTTATGAGACGGTGAAATTATACAAAGTTTGGCTCCAAAAACATTTTTTGTATTATTTTCGTCATAAATGTTATTTGTGACGTTAGAAATAACATTTAAGGAAATGGAGACGATTGTTAAAAAATAGAATAAATTCAACAAAAATAACATTTTAACAGTAAAATAATTCATTAATTCTGTTAAAGAGCGTCGGCAAATTAAAAGATATTTTTGTTAAATTTTTGACTCAAACTTCTTTTTGTGAACTTTGATGCTAAAATAAACTCGACTGAAAGCTCCGGAACAGCTGCTCAAGGGTCAAAGATCAACAAGGAATATTTAATCTCAACTATATGTCTGTGATGTTTCCTTGATTAATTATAATTATATTTAATTATAATAATTAAATTTAATTATAATTATATTTAATTATAATAATTAAATATAATTATTAGATTTAATTAAATATAATCATAATTATTAGATGATTACAGTTTATAATCTATATGAAACTATATATTAATTTAAAGGTCACATGTCAGTAAGTGGACCTGGAGTTTAGCTTCTTGTTATTTTTTTACTTTTTTTCCACATCGGGAGTTTAAGAACAATGGTTCCGTGTTGAGTCGCTGCTCTGGAGCTTTCGATTGCACCGCACTGACTTCTTCGACTGAAAGCTCCAGAAAGCCTTTTCTTTCTTACACTTCATTAGTGACGAATATATTTCAGCTAATCGCTTTATTGCTGATTTATTTCAATGTAATGATAATTATGATCTTAAAAGTCTTATTGATAAATAATTAATTTACTGGTTATGTCGTTTCATTGGTCTGAATCTGGAAGAAACTAAAATAAATAAAAACATAGTGCAGTAAAAATCATATTTCAGTAAAAAGTAGAAAGTAGCAGGAAACGGAAGTACTCAAGGAAAGTACTTGTATTTGAGTAAATGTACTTACTTTCCACCATTGAGTATTTTGTTTATATTTTCTCGGTATTCTGTGTGTTTTCTGTCTATTCTTTCATAAATGTGTGTCCAGTGTTGTTTCGGACAGTACAGTTTGGATATTTCGTCCTTTTAACGGATACATATCGATTAATCTCGTGACATTTGACTACAGCTCCCATCAGGCGTTCACAGGCGGCTACTGGGGATATTCCCGCCCAGTTGGTGGATTATGTCCGATCAGTCCTGAGTGACGTGTCCACCGACCAATCAGAGGCGGCGGAGAGGAGGGGGAAGGGGGAGGGGGCAGGGCTCGAGGTATCATGGAGGATCAGTTCATGGAGGATCAGTAGGCGAACTGTGGCCATCAGAGGAGAGCAGCGACCGCTCTGATCTCTGGGAGGTTTATCAACTGTTTCTCTCTAACCGTCGCGCACGAGACAAACATGGACATGAAGAAGAGGATCACTCTGGAGCTCAGGAACCGGAGCCCGGCGGAGGTGAGCGGCTCTTTTATTTCTATATTTTAATAACGTTTTTAGATGTGTTGCCTGAAATAGCACCCGGAGCCTGGACCCACCATCACGGAGCTCATCACATGGGGGTCCGCTTACGACCCAACTTGCTCGCGGGCTCACACGACCCGAGAGCAAGTTGGGTCGTTGTTATCGTTGTGATCGATCCGTTTGATCAGCTACCGGATGGATGTGGAAGCATCTTCGTTCTCCTCTCTCTATCAACTCTGTAACGGTTCAAATCCCACCGGAGCCCCCGAACAGTTGCCGTTAAACCGTGTATCTCGACGGGGACTCGCGACGTGCGGGGTTTTAACTTTTTAATCATCGATCACCGGGGGGAGCTCCGGGAGGTTAAAACGACACGACGATAACTGTTAAAAAACCACTCAACAGACGGGTACGTAGGAACGGTTAAAAACTGCTCAACATACGGGTACTTGGGGCACATAGAGCGGGAGTATATCAGAGGAGCTCACGGCTTCGTTTCGACCTTTTTTAGAACAACGACGTCGGTTTGAAACAGCGGACATTTTAAGAACCAACGGCTTAAAACTTCGACGGAAACGTCTCGTCTCCGGACGTTTTATTCTGTTTTAAATCAAACTCATCATCGTTCGGTGTTAAACTAAATTTAACGTCTTTTTCAAAGACCTTTCGTCGACCTTTCCCCGGTGCTCGGTGGCTGATCTCCGGTCACGGAGACATTTTGAGTGAGCGAGCTCGTGCTCGACGTGTAACGCATGTAACGCGTTACCGACTTATCGTTACTGAGAGCGGATTAACGGGCGTTTCGACGGAGGAGGTTTTTTTTCTCCGTTTTAACGCTAAATATCGACGTGTTTTATGTTCCACTACCGTTGAAAAGACGTTGCACTACTGTAACGGAGTGTGTGTTTGTGTGTGTGTGTGTGTGACAGCGTCGTAACGAATCAAAATGGCGTTACTCGTCGAGGCTTTAACGTAAAACGGATTAACGTCTTCATGGGTTGTTGTTCTCGTTTAAATAAACGTAACACCGAGAACAGACCAAATATTAAGAGCAGGAATTTGTAATAAATCATGTTAATAAAACTGTGTGGGGGGGGGGGGGGGGGGGGGGGGGG